ATCATTATCATTCTTCTTCTTCTGTTTATTATTATCATCATCCTTATTATTATTATCATTAAAATAATTAATATTATAATAGTTATCATTGTTACTATTATTATTATTATTATTATTATTATTATTATTATTATTATTATTATTATTATTATTACCATTATTTTTACTATTATCATTATTATCATCATTATCAATATTATTATTACCATTATCATCATTATTATTATTATTATTATCATAATTGTTATTATTATTACTATTATTATTGCTATTATTATTATTATTGTTATTATCATTATTATTATTATTACTGTTATTATTATTACTATTACCATATTCATTACTATTATCATTAACATCATCATGGTTATCAGCATTAAAAAATAATTATCGCTATTATTATTATCGTAACCATTATTATTGTTATTGCTATTATCATTATTATTATTATCATCATTGTTATTATCCTCATTATTATAGGTATCATTTTTATTACTATTGTTCTTTTTTATTATTATTACTATTGTTATCATTATCCGTATTTCTATCAACACCATCATTATCATCATTGTCATCATCATTATTACTATCATCCTCGTCATCATCGTCATCATTATCATTTTTACTATCATCATCATCATCATCATTATCATTTTTACTATCATCCTCATCATCACCATCATCATTATAATTTTTACTATCATCATCATCATTATCATAATTATCATCATTATCATCATTTTTGCTCTTACCATCATTATTATCCTTGTTATCACCTTTACCGTTATTATTCCATATCATTATCTTTATGAAAACTGTTATTATTACTTTTATCATAACTATCATTTCATTGTTATTACTGTTATTGACATGATAATGATAATAATAACAATAATAATGATTATTATTATTATTATCATCATTAATATTATCATGTTTTTTATCATTACTATTGTTATTATCAACGTTGTTATCATTATCATTATTATTATAATTATTACCATTATCATTATCATTACTATTATTATTATTATTATTAATATTATTATTATTATTATTATCATTATTATGAATATCATTATTATTAGGGTTATCATTAACATTATTATTATTATTATTATCATCGTAATCAAAATCGTTATTCTCAGCCTTAATGAAGTAACCTGAGACATGTACAAATTTGCCCACAAGTGTCAGACATGAGGATCTAACAAAAGTCATGTTTTTTTTTCTTATCTCTGTCTTATTTAATCTCCTTTGTTTCACCGCGAGATGGGGGGGAGGGGAGGAGGGGCTAACAGTCCCATTGCCCCCCCCCCCCCTAATACTTGAGGAGGACAGGGGCGCAACAGGGAGGAGACCAGCTAAGGCTTACTCGAAGGACTCAAGAATTCTCTGCTATTGGGCCTTCGAGACTCACTAATGGCGCTGACGATGTTGTTTGTTATTGTTTTTTTTTTTCGTCTTATTACAGTTGGTAAGGGTTAGTTAGGTATTTTCTAAGGACGTTATCGTTTTTTTTCTTCTCCTTTACAGTTTGGGATTCATTACAGGTTAATAGTCCAACTGTGCGTCTAGTCATTTCATTATTCTATAGCTGTTGCAGATTGTATTTGATAGTATTGAATATATATATTTTCTTACTGGGTAGAAATCCTTATAGATTAAGATCCCCATTCTGCTTCATGTTATTTCCTTATTTTACGTTTTTTAGCATTTTTTTAGGGGATAAGTCTATTGCTTTTCGTGAACAATATATTTTCTTAACAAAAGGCGACGTGAACAAAGGGAATCAAATAAACAGAAGTCTTAGAATAAAGTAAATCTATTTATTTTCAAGTATACATAAATTTAATCTTTTTTTTTCTAAGCAATGCTACAGCAAAACATAATGCCGTTACACAACTGTTCTTGAGACTCACCCATCGGATTGAGTTTACGCTTTAGACGAACCTTTTTGAAACAGGCTGTTCGTGCCCCCGCTTTCGGCTTGGCAGATCAGTGAACCAAATTTCTTTTTTTTTATCTTATTTTTTATCAATATGTCCGTGAACACGTGGCACTCGACAGTAGCTGTTGCACTCTGACATCGCTCTGAAACTGTCCGTCGGATTTGTCTGATTTCGAAAAGATTCGAGACAGGAACGGTGCATGCAGAAGTCAGGTCCGTGTGGAGAGTATGTCTCTCTTCTCTTAGGCTATGAAATGCTATTTTCTGCAATGACAAAGCAACAGAAGTCCCCAGCCTATATATACATACACACATACACACACACATATATATTTACATATATATATATATATATATATATATATATATATATATATATATATATATATATATATATATACATATATACATATATATATATATATATATATATATATATATATATATATATATATATATATATATATATATATATATATGTATATATGTATATACACATACATTTACATATACATATATATATACGTATGTATGTATGTATGTATGCACGTATGTATATACATGTACACACACACACGCACTTTGAAGCACAAGGTTAAAACTCTGAAGACAAATTCTAAATACACGGTGACGGAAGTCCCTTTATGAAACAAATCCTCCAGCTGTTCAAGTAGGGGGCGGTGGGGGAGGGGGGTAAGCCGGAGGTGGGGGGGGGGAGGCAGGGGTTCCAGAGCTCATGTGGTCTTGACGCGGAAGATCACTTGTTGCTGCACATCTGTTCGCGAAGGGCGCAGTGTAGAGATACATATATAAAAATGAATACATATATGTATATATGTATATATCTATATATATATTTATATATATGCGTATACTATGCCCTTATATATATATTTGTATGATTCGCGTCTTAGATCAGTCCGGGAGGCGCGCGGGGGTGGGGCAAGGGCGTCAAACTTCCGTCCTGCCTTCCCTCGTTCTCGCATTGCCTCGGGTTCCTTCGGGAGTGTCGCTCGGGTGTCCTTGGCTGCGTTGCTTGGAGAGATTTGCTTGCTGGAGGCTGCTGCCGAAGGGGGCGTGGGGGCGTGGGGGAGGGGGGGAGGGCGTGGGGACGGTCGGGGAATGTCGGTTGCTAGGACACTACGGAACCTGGAGGGGCGTGAGCGTCGGAGAACCTGCCTCGTCCCTTACTGCTCCGGAGTGGCCACGTCCTCCTCCTGCGGGAAGGAAGAACAAGTGGGTATTAAGGGGAGAAAAGTAAAAGACGAAAGAGAGAGATAAGAAGGAAGAAGAGAGACATTGTCGACAATATTAGGAGAAGAACAGATATTAAAAACATTCAGAGCATAATAAAAAAGTTTAGCGCCGCGTCTTCCTCTTGCAGGAATCGAGAACAAGAGACGAGTGTTAAAAGATGAGAAAAAAAAGGGAGAAGAAAGAAAGATGTTAAAAACATTCAGAACATGATAAGAACTGTAAGCATTACGAGAATAATTAACATTAAGAACATTAAAAGAATGGAAGATATTAAAAAGAAAAAAAACATTTAAAGTGTAAAAAAAATATATCTCGTTTACCTCCCGCGGAAACGGAGAATAAAGAGAAATGTTAAAAGAAGGAAACAAAGAAGAGAGAGGAAAGAAATTATCGAGAATATCAAGAGAATTATAGATATTTGAAACATGAAACGCATAATAAAAGATGAAAATAGGAAAAGGAGAATGAAAATTGAGAATATTGAGAGAATGATAACAATAAAATGACATAGTAAGAAATTACGTAAAATAGCAAGAAAATTACAAAATCGTGAGAATATTAAAAGAAAAAGAAGGGAAAGATTATTGGAAATATCAAAAGAAGAAGAAGAAGAAGAAGAAGAAGAAAAAGAAGAGGAAGAAGAAGAAGAAGAAGAAGAAGAAGAAGAAGAAGAAGAGAGAGAGAGAGAGAGAGAGAGAGAGAGAGAGAGAGAGAGAGAGAGAGAGAGAGAGAGAGAGAGAGAGAGAGCGAGAGAGAGAGAGAGAGAGAGTAAGAAAGAAAGAAAGAAAGAAAGAGAGAGAGAGAGAGAGAGATAGAGAGAGAGAGAGAGAGAGAGAGAGAGAGAGAGAGAGAGAGAAAGAGAGAAAGAGATAGAGAAAGACAGAGAGAGAGAGAGAGAGAGAGAGAGAGAGAGAGAGAAAGTAAGAAAGTAAGAAAGAAAGTAAGAAAGAAAGAAATAAAGAAAGAGAGAGAGAGAGAGAAGGAGAGAGAAAGAGAGAGAGAAAGTAGGAAAGAAAGAAAGAAAGAGAGAGAGACAGAGAGAGAGAGAGAGAGAGAGAGAGAGAGAGAGAGAGAGAGAGAGAGAGAGAGAGAGAGAGAGAGAGAGAGAAAACAACCGAAGACGACGCTCTCCCCCCACCCCCCCTCCTGCTCTGGCCATGAGGGCCGGGCAGATTCCTCGCCGGCAGATCGGGATGTTCAGTCTGGGAACCGACAGCCATGACCGCCATGGGAGAGGAGAGGGAGAGCAAAGGAGGGAGGGAGAGGAGGGAGGGAGAGAGGGAGAGAGGGAGGGGGGGGAAGACAATGTTAAGAGGGTGGGGGTCCGCGGCTGCAGTTGGCACTCGGGACACGCGATTCAGCGGCTTTTGTGCTCCTGGCCTCCCCCCCCCTCTCCCTTTCTCCCTCCTCCCTTTTCTTAACTCTTTTCTCCTCTTCTCTTATCTCTTTCGTCTCCTTTCTCCTTTTTCCTTCATTCTTGTTCCACTCCCCTCTTCTCTTCTCTCCTTATCTTTCTCATCCTGTCTCCTCTCTCTTTTTCCCTTTCTCTGTCTCTACTCCTCCCCTTCTTTTTCTTTCTATCTCTCTTCCTTCCCTTCCATCTCCTCTTCTCCCCTATATGTTTCCTTCCTTTTATCTTTCCTTTTGCTTCCTCCATCTCTCCACCCCTTCCCTTTCTCCCTCTTTTCAACCCGGCTCCCTTCTTCGTTCTCTCTCCCTCTCCCTATCTCGCTCTCTCCCTCTCCCTATCTCTCCCTCTTTCTTCCACCCTCTCTCTCTCCCTATCTCTTTCTCTCCTTCCCCTTTCCCCCTCTAGCTATCTCTCTCTCTCCCTCCCCTTTCCCCCTCTCCCTATCTCGCTCTCTCCTTCTCCCTATCTCTCCCTCTTCCTTCCACCCTCTCTCTCTCCCTATCTCTTTCTCTCCCTCCCCTTTCCCCCTCTCCCTATCTCGCTCTCTCCCTCTCCCTATCTCTCCCTCTTCCTTCCACCCTCTCTCTCTCCCTATCTCTTTCTCTCCTTCCCCTTTCCCCCTCTCCCTATCTCTCTCTCGCCCTCCCTTTTCCCCTCTCCCCCCCTCACTCGGTATTTATCTAAGTCAATGGGCACTTATTTTCACTTACATATCTTTGAATATGTTTCACGTATTAAGATATATACTGTGAACATTTCTTTATCTGTCTATCTGACTATGTATATATGTATACATGAATGTACGTTGTATGTATGTATGTGTGTGTGTGTGTGTGTGTGTGTGTGTGTGTGTGTGTGTGTGTGTGTGTGTGTGTGTGTGTGTGTGTGTGTGTGTGTTTATGTGGATGTGTATGCATGTATATATGTATATATGTGTGCATGATATATGTTTGCATGTACATATGTGTGCAGGATATATGTATGCATGTACGTACCTGGGTATGTGTATATGTGCATGCATGTATGTAAATACATATGTATTTACACATATAAGCGTGTATGCGTGCATGTATGTATGCATACTTAGGTACCCATGCATTTATGTAGGTATGTAAGGATATATCTAGAATCTATCTATCTTCATCCTCGCCTCTCTGTCTGTTGATCTACCAATCGTCTACCAATCTGCCTCTTCGAATCCCTTTACTCACTCTGTATCCGATCCTTTATCCATCTCACTGTATATCCGATCCTGTACCCAGGCCCTTTCATCTATTCTTTTCTTAGCGACCAGTTAGACATGATTTCACCGGATCTTTCTCTCAGCCTCTCTATCGCCTCTTTTATTTACATGACAATCTAAGGGCACTGTCATAAAGATATAAAAACTTACTCTAATTAATATATAACGTGATCTGTGCAGGTAGAGAACAGCGTTAGAAATGGAGAAAATAGTTCGCGACAGAGGCCGCGCGGAGACCTAACTGATCCAGTATGAACGGTCTTGGGACTATATACATTTAATGCATTTCTGTATTTTGATTTCCATAAAATCATACGGAAATATGTATTTATTAAATGTTATTTCTTTAGATATACGATGTGTTCTACCCTACTGTATACGAACATTTTTTTTTATTATTAGAAATGCTTGTTTCATGTTCATTTCCTTACTGAAATTGTTACGATCTCACGGTTAACACGAAATTCACTGAAATACAACAAACCATTACAGCTGCAGAAACACGCCAGAGTTTCGTGACTTCCCAGCTGCCCTCACTCTAACCTGAAGGTAAACCCAATTTGTAACTTTAAATGCACAGTCGGTGGCGATCGGGATGGGGGCGAGTTAGTCAGAATTTTAGTTCAAACGGCGATCTTTGTAGAAATTTGTGCGTTTGAATTGGGGGTTCACTCGCTCGTTCGTCTGCTCAACGCCATGTCGAATCACCCGCGGCCGAATATACACTCGTTTTTTTTTCCATTTTCCAATTTTGTTTATCATATGTGTTGTTTTTCTTCATATTTACCTTTTTTTTTACTTTTTAAAATATCTGGTGTGAGCTTGAGTTGCAGACCGAACTTCTGACGCTTAATGGAGTCGTGTGAACAATTACTGCCGTACACACGAACCCGACTGATCCCCCCCTCCCTCCCCCCCTCCCTCTACCCTCTCCTTCTCCCTCTCCCTCCCTCTCTCCCTCCCTCCCTCCTTCCTTCCCTCCCCTTTACTCTCTACCCTCTCACCTTCCCTCCTTCCTTCCCTCTCCCCCATCCTTCCCTCCATTCTTCCCTCCCTCCCTCCTTCCCTCCATTCTTCCCTCCCTCCTTCCTTCCCTCCCTCCCTCCTTCCTTCCCTCCCTCCCTCCCTCTACCCTCTCCTTCTCCCTCTCCCTCCCTCCCTCCTTCCCTCCCTCCTTCTCCCCCTCCCTCCTTCCCTCCCTCCTTCTCCCCCTCCCTCCCTCCTTCCTTCCCTCTCCCCCCCCTCCCTCCCTCCTTTCCTCCCTCCCTCCTTTCTTCCCTCCCCTCTACCCTCTACCCTCTCCCTCTCACCTTTCCTCCCTCCCTCCTTCCTTCCTTCCCTCCCTCCCTCCTTCCTTCCCTCCCTCCCTACTCCCTCCCCACCTACCTGAGCGAAGGGCGTGTCACGCTTGCCGAACCGGAGTCTGAGGGCGGGAGTGCGGCCGTCCTTGCGCACCAAGTCGTGGTCCAGGAGGGGCTCATTCTGCGGAGGGGGGGGGGGGGGGTGAGAATGAGTCAGACTGCGTTAGACTGCGTGAGACTGCGTGAGGATGAGTTAGAATGCATTAGACTGCGTGAGGATGAGTTAGACTGCGTTAGACTGAGTGAGACTGCGTGAAAATGAGTTAGAATGCATTAGACTGCGTGAAACTGCGTGAGACTGCGTGAAAATGAGTTAGACTGCGTTAGACTGCGTGTTGGAATTATAATGAATTAGAAAGAGTTATTTAGGGGAAAGAAAGAAGAGTCAGTGATCTTGAAGTCACTCTAGGAGGAGTGAGAGTGAGTTAGGATAAGTTAGACAGAGAATTAATTAAGAATGAGAAATATAAGGGGAAAAGTGAACCGTATTCACTGAGACCAATGTAGAAAAAAAGTATGAATGAGAATGAATATCTTCACGGTGCAAGAGATGTATTTGACCAATTGTGTCTGTAATTCTGACGAAGATATAATCAAAACCGTTTCAAAATTTTTTTTTTTATTGTGAATATATTCAGTCTCATTCATGGTTTTATTGCAGAAGGGAAATAATATGAATAATAATTGTTTTAACAGAAAAAAAGGCAAAATGAATTATTTAGGGGAAAATCAGTTAGAATGAATTATATAAAGGAAAAAAAATGAATGTTAGAATGAAATATATGGAGGAAAAAATTTGAATATTAGAATGAAATATATAGAGAAAATATAAGTTAGATAGGCTATTTAGGGGGAAATGAGTTAGAAGGAGTTATTTAGGAAAAAATATGAACTGAGTTGTCTAACCTGAAAGTTTAGTTAGAATGAATCTCTCTCTCTGTCTGTCTGTCTGTCTGTCTACTGATCTCTCTCTCTCTCTCTCTCTCTTTCTCCCTCTCTATCTACTGATCTCTCTCTCTCTCTCTCTCTCTCTCTCTCTCTATTTATCAATCTATCTATCTATCTACTGATCTCTCTGGCGGAGTTATAATGAGTTATTTCGACCAAAGAAAGAATTAGGAAGTATTGAAAAGATCGAGGGGTAAGTCAAGCAAGTTTAATCAAGCTAACATGAAGGTCATAATAAGTTGATTAAAGGAAAAGGACGCGTTAATTGATAGAGATAGAGGCAGAATGACTTAATTAAGCTGGGGATTGAGTTTGAATGAATTAAGGAGAACAAAGTCGTCTAAATTGCAGTGAAGGTAAGGAAATGAGTGAGGATTTTAGGGTAAAAAAAGTAGCACCTCCTTGGTCTCAGGTGGCCTTGGCGTTATGAGCACGTTACAGTAACATCAACGTGTGTATAGAGGCGATATAAAACACGTAGTTAAGGGATTAATGGGAATTCTTACATTTAGAAATATTGACTTTGATTTTTTTTCTAATTTTATTTTTTGTTTTCTTTTTATTTCATTTCGTTTTGTTATGTGTCCACGTTGGCTGTCACTTCGTTTTTATTAAAATTTGTGATTACTTTGTGTATTTTTTCCCATTCTCATACCTCGTGTTTCATGAATAACAAAAAAACAAAAAAAAACAAAAACAAAAAACTCTCCAATTTTCCCTAAACGACCCCTTCTCCCTCTCACTTAAACCCTATGACGTCACCAGCACCCTTAACCCATTCGCCCCATGTGGCAAGAATACATGCCATGCCCACTTTGATACGCGTTTATTTACTGTATTTACACATAGATGGCTCTACTAGTTCTTAATCACCAAATAGCCAGTTTCCTTCACTTTAAGAAAGTTTTTTTTTTTGTATCATTTCATTGTCTAATATATTTTAATGACAATTTAATAATCATCAATAACAATAATAACAGTATCGATAGCAATGGTATTAATTTTCCTGCCAATCCAATGAATGAGAAAATCAGGGTCGGTAACTAGGGCCTACTGATTGACTCCTTGCCGGCTGAGCACATGTGGAGCCATCTGTGTGTAACAAAATTCACCAAAAACTACAGGGGACAGAACATAAATCCCTTCACATCCTCCCTATGTCCTTAAATTTCTCCACATTCCCTTATCCTCCCATTCTCCATTATCCACGTCTTCTTCCTCTTTCCCTTCCTTCCATTTTCCTCTCTTCTCCTTTTGTTCAGAAGATAGCGAGTGGGAGACAATAGTAAAGAGTCAGGACCCCGATATAGTGTAAACAACAGCGATAAAAGGGATCTTAAGCAGACCCTCGAATTCATTACATTATAAGCGGGGCAGATGTGTTATAAAATATTATTAGATGTCGTTTTAAAGGATGAAGATAAAGGAGGAGAGTTAATGTGTAGATTGATCGATGATTTCTTAAAAAAAAGGCGGGAAAGGAGCGAGTTAACACCGTATTAGGTAAGATTAGATATCAAACCCCGGTGTTACAGATGCGAAAAAAAATCCTCTTGTTTTCGGTATGTGTAATCATACTCCCCCCCCCCCCCTCCCACTCCTTCGTAAAGATCGTTGTCGAAGCGGATTTTTTTCCCCGATAAAAAACAAAAAAACAAAAAAAAACGATCAATAACGGGACTATAACATCGGCTTTTGATAACTGACGGTAAACCTAAACAAACAGAAGTTGGATTCCTGAGAAAACATTCACCGTTATCATAATATTCCAACGAGAAGAACGACATCTGCGTATGCGTTGAAAATATTCACTTAGAAAAAACAAAAAA